TATAGTGTTGTTACTAGTATTTTTATTATCGTTGTTATTTTGTAAATTAAAGAACAAAACTCTTTGGCGTTCATTGTCATCAATCATCGTCGTCGTTGTCAGTATATTGATACAGTATCAATAACTAGCACCACTGTCGTTAATTAGTATTTTTCTAACTAATATCTTAATAATAGCAGTCATCATCTGAATAACATCGTGTCACTCTCCCGTATCGTATGTGTATATAATAATCAAAGGAGAGCTCTAGTAATTGTTGGTTGTACAGCAGCAGGCTTGAGCATCTAGCTCTGGCGACTACTTTCCAAGTAAGGCACCGTCTCAACCTCTCAAAATGCACTAAATACCAATATACCAAATGACAAACGCAGACACTCGACAAATACACACACACTCACACACACACACACACACACACACACACACACACACACACACACACACACACACCCATAAACCTGATTTCTCGATTTTTTTCCTGTTACTATCATCATCTGTAATTATTTTAGCGGCCGTATTCTTTACACAGTCGCAGTTGACGTCCTATTTTCTACATAGTCCTATTTATTTTCGTCTTTACTCGTGCTACAACTAAAATTACTTCTACTCTGTTTTTGTTGTGGTTGTTATTACTGGTCACGGACATCCGCACGATTCCTGCGGTACATGTCGTTCTAGCTAATCCGTTCCATATAGCAATATTTTTTGGTAATATAGAAATACAGTTAATAGTTAGTACTACAGATATTATTGCTCTCATCATTATTAACGGTTTCGGCGGGATTTAACCTCCTGCTAATCAACTTCGATGAGTTTGCCAACGCTTGCCCCTCCCGATACCCTTGACGGTCTTGCTAGACCACTGAGGTCGGTCCCAAGAAGCTTTAGAAGATTCTTCACCCAATCATCAGTTTGAAACATCAATAAATTTCCTCCCTAACGTCCATGTCGAAGGTACCTTTTTATGTCTTGCTATCCAAGTTTACTATTTCCAACATCGGGCCCTCGTAGTGTCGCCAAAAAAGGTCTTACGGCTTATAACCATACGTTATCATAACACGGACTTTCCTACTTATTTATCGCACTATAGGCATCGCGTAGTTGCTTCTAACGGCGCACCCCATGCTCAGGTACTCCGCTCTAACATTGCCTGGCCGACCCCATTCTGCATTCGCGTTTTTCTACTAAATACATAGTATTTGTGAAATTACTGTAATTTTTTCTGCGTCTTAGTGTAAAAAGTTCCATTTTCCCACCGGTATCGTTTCACGCAGATTTAATCTCTCTCGTGATGGTGCAGACGTCCTAACCTCAGTATCGCTGTTTGGTAGCTAGAAATGTAACTGGTAGATCTTTGGCTATATAGTGACTGATGATAATGACCTATCGACGGTCAATTCGCCTTTGGGAAAAGCTGTCTGGCCCAGCAGAGACCTAATAGCGAGATTCTGCAGCGGCTGACACGACACCTACAATCCCCAAAAGGGCGGAGTAAGTATGGCACATTGGCTAACATTGAAGCACTGATGCAATGCGGAGTAACAAGTGGTGGGACCCTTTTTTTTTGTTGTGTCAAAGAGGACGTCACATTTTGACCCAGTGAATTTCATCGCATGCAATGTAATCGAATAGTAGTTTAGCAGAGGAATACCCCATTGGCATAGTCACGCTGCGACAATCCGCGAGTTCTCACCATAACACGTCTTTACACTAATGGCTTGTTCCCATGTGCTACGACGACCAAAAAACCAGATTGCTGATAGGATCATAAATATTCGAACTGTCCCTAATATATGTATAGGGCCGGCCGAAAGGCCAGAACAGCGCAGGACGCTCCACGCGCCGTCGTCTGATCTATCTCTGAACAATAATAATACTAATCGAATAGATAGGCCATTAATAGTAACGATAATAATTATAACCGCAATAATCATCGGCATGGGTCCGCAATAGAGACTGACCAATTGCTAATGTATGCCAAATAATTAGAGAAATTCGTTCCACTGTGATACCCAACCAACATGAACGGCTCATCAAGACGCCTCGTACGATCTAGGTCAATGTAACAACTATTGAGTACCCGGTTTCTGACTGACTGGATAGAAATAGAATGATCCATTGGCGACCGTTTGTATAGTAAACTTGTATTTAGGAACTGGCTTTCATTTCAGTTGACATCAGTCCACAGTTCTGTTTAGCCTGAAACATCATTGTTTTTCTCTTTGTTAGATCGTAATGCCACTCTCGATTTGTATATCTTCCCCGGCGTACTTTGCGCCGCTCAATTTAGCCGTAGAATTTTTGGCAATGAAGCACGATCGAGTCTAGCTTTCGAGGCGTCGAACATTTACTATGGCTAGCCACAAATGGGGCTCTGGATTAACAAATGCATCATTATTGTACCATTGTTTTATGGTGTTAATCACTGTCGTGCTTGCTATCCTCATCATTCAGCTTGTTACTACGTGTAGCGATCGACTACTGCAAGTTCCCTCTTCCCATATGCTGTATGCACGAGTATCCACGTTTACTCGGCGAGTCCTCGCTCACACAATGGTAACAAGCTCAATGCAACGCAAATTCTTCGTAGTGAAACAACTACAACTCGGTCTCAGCATCAACGGCGCTATCTAGCAGAACGACTGTACTTTTGGCTGTTGCACACCTTTTCTACATTTTGCCTACATGTTTAGTTCATTTGCGCCCTGTTCTCGCCATGTCTTTTGTCCTTTTTGACTTGTGAGAAGCTTCTATCTACTGTCAACTAGCCTATACATAGGCGGGCGGTTAGGTATATTGTCTTATTTCATTTTCTTTATCTACACAAGAAGTCATTTAACTCTCTATTATACACAAGGCCCCTACACTCGCTGCAGGGCGGCCGCTAAATATTGCCTTAGATGGCTTAACTTTTGGGCCGGTTAAATCTTTTTCATTGTTTTTGGTTTAGACTCGTCGTTGTCATCATCATAATCGCAAGCATTTGGCGCATTCTTCCCTATCTCAGCTTTCTCGTTCACCGCTTCACTATGGGCATTCTAATAACAATAATAATAAATTATAACCGCCCCTTATGAGTTCGTTGCGGCTGGAACCTCATCATGACGGTCTCGCATCTCTCGTAGCCGCTTTCACGCAGGTCGCGTTTCACGAACAACAGTACAACACGTTTCCTTTCGAGACAATCGAGGTCAATTCTGCGAGAGGCATTGGTCCTCTTATCTTTGTTAGATTTTTTTCGTCTCTTTGCTTCGCTGCGTCATACGCTTATCGACTATGACTGCATTAATTCTTGAGTCGATGTTGTTGCTTTGGCTTGTTTTGACTGTTGAAATCATCCGGCATTCGGACTGCTGCATCTGCTGTCGCTGTTGTTGTTGTTGTCGTTGCTGTTATTTTGACTATAACTGTTGTCATCATAGTAGCCGACCTCAAGGAGTAGTTCAGTGTGTACTTTAGGTTTACTCGGAAAGTGCAGAAGCGGGCTGGGGACTGGGTGCCGAAGAGACAGGTGCTATACTTGCGCCCCCCGCCAGGCTGTGCGGACTGGACGCACTGCGTGCGCCACTTGAAATGCCAGAGCTGGTAGATAATGGCGTTGAAGTGGCCGAGATCGACAAAGGCGTAGTTACCGAGGGCGGACCCAACGGCGCCGGGAAGGCTGGCAATAGCGAGAAGCCTGTACTCGCGTCGCTGGCGCCCGAGGTGGCGGCGGCGGCGGCAGTGGCTGCGGCCGTGGACAGAACGGAGCTGGGCAATGGTAAAGCAGCTAAAGCAGCCGAGACCGCAGGAACCAGCGAAACGCCACCGATTGTAGCCAACGATCCCATTCCAGCGAGTGATGAAGGTAGGCCAGGCGAGGGTGTGGCTGTTGCTGCTGCAGCCTGCTTCTTCAGGTGCCAAGACACCATGTGCATCTTCATGTTACCTGGTTACCAAGAGCAAATCGCCGCCCCATAGAAAAAGCGTACAAGGTACCGCTCGTTAGGTAAACGCAAAAGAGCATATACATTATTGGTTAGAGCTTGGCGCTAAGTAGTAAAAGAGTTCGGTTCAAAATTCCGTGAAATAACCTTCACCTGACCTTAAGCGAGTCGGGGGGTGCGATCCAGTAGCAGAAGAATTTACCGGGTTTTCAGTAGTGAACGTTCTCGGTTATGCTACTTGACAATTTAATATAATATCGTTATGAGAGGCCAATAAGGCCATGACAGGAAGCCAGACACTGAAGTGATTTCATGAAAGGCCTCAATAAGGTTCGTTAATGGCGTACGTGTGTCGATGGAGCGTACCTTTCTGTGCAAACCTCTTTCCACAGTACTCGCATTTGAACGGCTTTTCTCCGGTGTGAACACGCTGATGGTTGACAAGATGCGATCTTCCAGGTGCGATGTATCCGCACACGTCGCACTGGTAACGTGGCGGAGTGCCTGCGTTAATGGCATTTAACGCTGCGACGCTTTTATTACGCTTACGGTTGGCACTGGGAACTGTATCAAGATAGATATTAGAATCAGTAAAGTAGTATTAGGGGGCTTACGGAGTAATAAAACCCGATTAAGTGACTAGCTTTAAGCGAACTAAGGCGAATTACATGTAGCATTGTCGACACTGTAGAAATATGTCGAAAACAACTATAGTCCACCGCCACACGAATTTCGACTGATCAAAAACCTTCGATCATTTATATCGTTTAGCGATTAATTGTTAAGCCTGTCAATAGTAATGCTGAGAGTTCAGCTCTTAGTCAGTCTACTAGTGGACCTTAGAAGTAAACTAAGTGCAATAAAAGGTCATCCTTTGAGTTCTTACGCGTACCTGATCAACATAAATCTAAAAAATTTTAGCTCATTGCTTCTAGAGATGACTCCACCATCACATACGCGACCCAACTGGGTAAATGGGCCAGGCGAATAACTCGGAGTAAGATGAGGAAAAAATGACTCCGTTGACATTAACGCTCGAGATACAAAGGGGAAATATAGTCTAAAAACATGGGACTCACCGACGCCAAGAGGCGCTGAGGTGATCGCACCGGCGGGCAATGCACCAGACGACACCGTAAGGGCTCCATTGGCGTTTGCCTGAGCTGCAGCAAGTGCCGCATAGATCAGCGGAACTATGATGAGCCGATAATCATAATAACAGCAACAACAATAACAGCGTCACAAACTTAGTTCTTGTATCAACGAAAATGTATATACAGTCTGTTGATAGCACTGCGCATGCGCTACATTTGCGAATTAAACTAGGACTATTGCAACGCCACTTCGAGCTCTGCCCGTATCAACATAAACGACACATGCATATTCTCTCTATTTGTCTATGGAACTAGCTTTTAGCTTCGAAGCCCAAGCGTACCTAGCGTACGATGAGGCGACGATGTTAGTAGCGCATTTCTAACCGGCCACCGCACCGACCCCAGCTGGAGCGCCAACCAATCTGAGTGTATCGGACCGATAAACGAGACCCAGTTCTTGACAATGAGCCGAACATCGATTCACTACCTCTTTCCCTTCTCCATCTACTTGACCACTGCCTATCTGCGCGTTACAATTCCCCCCTTCTCTCCCTCTATGAAAAAGACTCCCATTATTTCTCCCCCTCCATGATGCTCTTCCCGCCCTGAATTTTTCACGAAACATTCGTGATTCTGTTTTGGCACTCAGCTCGGTAGTCCATCGGTTTTCTCTAACGGGTTTTCACACCGATCAATAGCTCTCAGACGGCCAGCCCCAGTCAGTCGGGTAGGTGATGCAGCGGTCGGTTAGGCCAGTCATTAATGTTTCTGTCACTACACTATTGCAAGCGATTGCTGGTTGCTGTTAGTGTTCTACGCAGAGTAGCATCGGCGGCAGCAGCGGTAGAATTTGGTAGTAGAAGTAGCAGCAGCAGCGATTCTCGCGTTGGGAAGCAGATTTTTTGTTGCGCAGGAGGTTTGGCCAGCATTCGGATTAGCGCACACGCCAGCACGCTCAACAGCATTATCTCATTAGCAATGGTGTAGCCCAGAATCGCCCATTTGACCATGACTCGGTTATTTTGTCACCATCATTCGATCGCGAGATCGCCTACAGGCATTCGCCTATGAACATCGCTCTAACAACAGTTGGGTGGGGGGCTAGTTGGGACTGACAAGTAGATAAGCAGTCGAGGCAACAGCGCACGGTGCAACAGCGACAGCAGCTGTAGTAGTATCAAGAACTGCAATGGCCTAGAGGAAGAGGATACGATATCTGCAATGGACACAGCATCAACACAGTAGCGAGGTGAGAACTTCGACGACGAACTCTCCGTACACACGGCATCTTCGTATCGACACGATTGTCGTCATAGGCTGTCACCGGACCGAACACGATCGCTATCGGTGACATCTCATGACCTGTGAGTCGGCTTGATTAATCTTTACACCATCACCATCATTCGCATCCATCAAAACGTTGACGATTTAATCTGAAATTAAAAAAGGAAAGTGTTAGTATCTGTCCTGAAGCAGCACAGGCGCAGCAGATGTGCACAGAGATACCATTTCGTAGATGTATTGTACACGATATATACTCCTGTAGTAGGGCACGGAAAGCCGGAAGCGAGAACGTCGTTAAATTCTGCCAGAAGAAGTAAAAGATAACACAGCAAAAGGTCAGTATGACCTATTCACCAACGTAAGCCTTTTCGCTCTACATCACTGCTCCCTTTGGCGAAATAAAAACACGCATTGATTTTTTATTTCTTGATATCGAGTGAGAATAACCAAACTTTATTATTCTTATTATATCGTCCACCATTCAATATTTATTACCATATTTCTTATCGACATTATTATCAATATAATAGTAATCATCCTCAGTTTTCATTTTCGTCTTCCCCTTTTCCCCCTCTCTCTCTCTCTCTCTCTCTCTCTCCCTCTCTCTCCCTCACTCTCTCTCTCTCTCTCTCTCGCTCGCTCTCGCTCTCTCCATCTCTCCTTCTATCTATATCTCTCTCTCTCTCTCTTTCCTCTCCCCCTCCCTCCCTCCCTCCCTCCCTCCCTCCCCCTCTCTCTCTCTGCTATTTGCTTCTTTACCTTCTCACCATAGCCATCATGATCATCATCATCATCATCATCGTCATCATAGATATAATTATCGCATTAAAAAATCTCTAAGTCTGCTGTACACAGGTTAAACGGGAGGAAAAGAGTGCCGTTCGCATGTTATTGGCCTGTGTTAAGTTTGTTCTCTGTTTGTATTTGCTTAAATTCGGGAGTCCTGATTGTATTGATTATTAGTATACGTGGATATGAATAAGTGAATTTTGATGGCCCGTGACGAAAGTGTGCGTGGCTGCTAATTTCCGGAAGATATTTAACTCGGTGAAGCTTTTGCTGAGGTCTGCGCGGCACTCCTTTCTGCTAGGTAGCCCACCACCAAGGAATATGGCACGCTGTATACAGTACAGTTAACGGAACATTAAAAATAGAGCTGTTATTATCGTCTCATTATCTTTTACATCTGCATCAATAATGATCAATTACATTATCATTCGTATACTTTTTTTTGCTTCATTCATCGCATACAATAAATTCTTTCAATTCTCGTCTGCTTATAACCTTCTCCGCTACGATTTTAACCGTATGAATTGATGATGACGTTCTGTGTTGTCGAGCTCTGTTCGAGTAGCAATTTTCTACCGGCTATGACCTTCAGATGCCATTGTTAGGCTTACTAGTCAAAAATCATCATCATCATCGTAGTCAATCATAATTTATTATTACTCTTTAATTTTCGAGTTGGATGAACAACTTTCCTCCATTGTCTAGTATTTCTTCTCCGTATCATCATCATCGTCATCGTCATCATCATAGTCATCATCGTCGTCATCATCGTCATCGTCGTCGTCGTCGTCGTCGTCGTCGTCGTCGTCGTCGTCGTCGTCGTCGTCGTCGTCGTCGTCGTCGCAGTAATGTGTCAGAGTGTTGCTATTTTTCGCTTCTAAACGATAACGCAGCGTAATATTGTTGTTACATGGGCTAATACATTTTGGCCCACCTTCTCTAGCATCACTTTGAAGCAGAAGGGGGGCTATTGCAGCTTACAACGCCCTCGGACAAAGAAGTGGAAAAATCTCATGAAGTGAACGAACGGGCAACCTATGATCTGGCAATTGAACGGCCGGCGTCAACAGTATCCGAGTCCGTCTTGATCGCCTCGAAGCGCCACATGGTTGACCCTAGAAACTTCTTGGCCTTGGGGCGGATTGCAAGACTATTGCAAAGGGACAGAGGTTATGCAATCCCAAGGAAAGCCAGCGGGTTGCCTCGTCCAGTTAGACCACAATTGTGACACATCCGGTCTACGCACGCGTCCTTTCCCTCGCGGTAGATCTACTGTCTGTGTTGTCGTCGTCACATGCAATAATAGTAATAGTGATAGTAATAACAACAGTAGTAATAGCGCTATTTATGGGCAGTTTTATGTATATATCAGTAGCAGCGGCTCAGTCGTCAACTGCATTAGTACACACAATTACATTCATAGACACGCGTGCGGCCGAGAACTTATCTCGTTTCCGCAGTTTCAACAGATCAACAACGTCATACAGTCGATATACATGTCATAACGGGGGACCTGCGACGTTTTCCCAAGTAAAGATTACAGTTGACATAATTATTGTTTATGGTTTGCTGCCACAGTATCTGCACGTAATCCATGTATATAAGTTATGTGTAGTTGTTGTCGACGAGACAAACGGCAGTATGTGACAAAGTGGCATTTGCCTCGCAGTCGTTCAATCATTTGTTATCTCGCCTTGTCAGCCCTCTTCTAATCTATTTGTTTGCGTCATATTTATGAAAGAGCTGTTGAATGTATTTGTAGGTAATTGCAGACGGCACACGTGACTCGGAGCGTGCACATGGTTTACTGGCGGGCGGACACTTGAGCACAGCTGAGTCAGAGACTACAGCACGTCCTATTACCACTACCGTACAAGGGATGGTGTAGCAGCAGCCATCGCCAGAGTAAGTACTCCTACAGTGGTAATAGCAATAATAATTACAATATGTAGCAATTCAATAATAATCGATACCAGTGATCATCATCGTCGTCGTCGTCAATACTGTGTGATACAAACTTTCGGCTACTCACAAGATCACTAGAAGCCGCCCCAGCCAAGCGGCGCTAACGGCAAAAAAGCAACTTGGGGCGGAGCTCGTGACGATGAGGCGGCGGATCAGGGTTTTCGGAATTTCGAGAGACGAGGGTGCAGAACGAAGGGTAAAAAGGGTTTCAGGATTTGGGGGAGGGGGCGGAGGGAAGGGGAAGGGAAGGGGGGGGGGGTAAATATCTTCTGCATATGGGTAGAGCTAACAGGTAGGGTTCTGGGAAAACGGAGTATTACTAGGTGAAGGTGACCCAAGGGGTTCTTCTCGCATAATAAAGATTATCGATATACTGTCGATCCTCAATAACAGGAGAATGAAACTGGGACAAATGATCCTTGATCAAGCATCGATGTTTCCAGACAGTGATTAGCAATAGTTTTCTATAGAAACATTTATCTTTTAAATATTCTACATGAGGTTCTCTCATTCTTCTATTTAATCAGATGCCGAGCATAATACGATAAGATTATTTTTTCGAACCAGAAAATGAGGTATCTCAATTCACGTGTTGGAGGGCTTGCACCTCCGGAATCACTTTTTATAATACGTCTTTTTAGCTCAGTCCTTATGGTTTCTGTTATATTGTAGCATTTGCTGTGTGTAATTAATGCCCAAAAGCAACGTTAGCGTAATAAAATTACCGTCATCATTACTACTGTTATTACACAAACGTCTCCCCTGTTTCTGAATGAGGAATGAGGGGCTCAGTGTTATAGTAATCACTCTACGTTGCTCATTATTAGCGATATTGTGATTTAATATTAGCATTTTATCTATATTTGGGCTAATCTGAGGTAGACAAACAAATCTGGCCTTTTTTTCCCTATTCGGATGAGCAGCTGGCCTATCTGTGTTAACCTATGATGCGTTTGTGCAGTTATTACAAGTAAAAGAATCAACCTTGCACTCATATTCATTTGCCCGTTCATCGTCAAACAGGCCGGTCGGCCAGAGGGATGCTAACTATCATCTACAACAAAAAAACACGGGTTAAGAGCGACGATATTGTTTCACCTCTAAAATCAGGTCTACCTCTATAGTGAAATGTGAACCAATTGGACCGTTTTGAGGATACTGTTGACGTAAATTGCTGGAATGGGAAAAGCGTTTTTTATACAGTCGTAATAATAACAATTAGCATCGCTATGTTGAGAGATAATGGTTACTGTTTCTACCAAGGTGGTTAGAAAGCCGACACACTGCTGTAAACGTGACTTCCTTTTACATGACCCGATCATCAGCTGACCGATGTGCAATGTGAAGGAGAGATATACTGTAGATATAATCGTGTCGTGTATGGCGGTCGATAAAAAAAAAAATGAGGATTGTTCAGAGAATTGTTATTGCTGTTATGTTAC